TCTGATGCCAAGATTTAGAGATGCAAGTGTGGAGCTTGATCCTCAGAGCCTAACCTTGATTCTGCCACCACTTAGAAGCTTAATACAAAATGCACATGTACCTCTGTATCTTGACTCAAATCCTGTTGTCTCCATCCACGTCTCCTTCCACAGCCATTCTGCCAGGAGGATCCGCATGGTTCCTTGGGTCACAAACAGGGTTCCCAGCTCAAACAGGGCTAGGTCTAGAGCAGGGAAAGCAGGGCTACACAAGAGATTTAACAACAGATTAAATAACAATCAAAAATAAAATTAATAACCTGTCCTCTGCCCCTGCCTCTCCGGGAGAACTTGTTTCTTTACCCCCTTGCAGAGGGGACTGCCCTGAGTATCTTCCGGGATTGCTCAGGCACTGCACGCACATGCGGCACAGATGGTTGCACACAGCAAAAGGCAATGGACATTTTTGGATCCATGAAGCTTGTCAGAGCTACTGCTCTGCATCCAAAAACCCAAACAAACATACACAGCTGTCAACACTCTCTGAACTCCATCTCCAAGTGGAAAAAAAGACAGTCTGGGAAAACATAGATGCCAAGGGACCTTGTTTGTGAGTCGTAATTCATTAATGCACAGAAATTGTTTTGAGATCCCAGGATGCAAGATATCAGCCAAGCAGAAGTGTTATTTAATAAAATTCAAAGCTCTGTTGTTTCTTTATCCTTAGATATTCCTCATGTATCTGTTAATTAACTTTTGGTCATTGCTCATTCAAATTTGTTTTTAACTGCCTTGATCTTTCCTTTATCAAATGGAATTGCCTTGGGCAGAGGATGTGCAGTATCTACAGGTGCTCATTGCATTTGTCCATTTTACTCTTTTCTAATTAATTTATTGATTTGACCCCAGTCCTGCTCTTCCTTTGATTTTATGGCCAGTAGGCAAGATATCAAACATGGCTGATGAACAGTAACTGCATTGCAAATAAATGCCATTAGATTTTTACTATCTTGCTAAGCACACACACACACTCCTACAGCATACGGCAATGACACAAATTATGCACAATTTTCTCCCCTCTTTTAAGAAATTAGTGACTAAGAAATTGTATTCTCTGTAACACACAGGGAAGTAGCTAAATGTGTTTCTTCTTTTGAAGGACTTACTTTATTTAGTTTTAATATTATCTAAAATGCATACCTCTTTTTTTCTCTTTTTTTTTCCCTCAAACATTAAAGGAAACAACTCTCTACTTTTCTGCTCAGATTAGTAAAAACATAAATAAGCCAGGAAATTAAAGTCGGAAGTAAAAAAAAAAAAATAAAAAGGAGAGAGAGAGAAAAAGCTACCTTTTCTGCATCCTGCCTGGGCAGGACGCATCATGCAAGTGTGAGTCTTGCTCCTCAGGACAACGCATGGCAACAGACACACTTCAAACACTGACTGTAATCACAAGGAACGTCGGCTTGGACATGGAATTTCTCTGCTTTTATTGTACATTAGTCAAACGCAAGGGTTTATGTTCTTTGCTTTATCTCAGATTTTGCCATAATGCGGTTTAACCTCATTACCTCTTGCTGCGCTTCCTCAGAGGTGCTCCAAGCGCTTACTTGGACACAGGCTTGGGAAGATCATCGTGGAACCAGAGCCTGATAAGGGTACAAGCAGAAGCCACCTCAGAGCCAAGTTAGCCCTGTGATGAAGATAACACTTTTTTGGGGAAAGTGAAATACCAGAAGACATACCCACTCATCTTGAGTACAGCTAAAACACCCCCACAATCCCCAGCTCTCCCTGTAGCTACTAGAGAAATAAAAATTCTCATTTGGGGGTTGAGCTCCTCAACCAGCAGCACCTGATACCATCAACAGCCGACTGAAACACTTGTGCTGATTTTACGGCCTGGAGGGAGCAGCGTGTGTGTTAAAACTCCAGTCCTTGGCTCCAAGATGAACACTCCCCACTCACAGCTGAGATGCTGACAAGGACCACCATGATGACCACCATGACGACCACTGTCACCACTGTCATCACTGTCACCTGCCCTGGAGCACCAGACAGGGCTGCAGACTCTTGTCCGTGCCCCACCAGCTGGTAGGGGCTTTGCCAGGGCCTTCTCGCCCCTCTTCCAGGCCAGAGCTCCTGTGGGGACAGAGTGACTGCTGGGAGGCATCCACCGAGGACAGACACCATGAGGGAGACCTGCCCAGGGGAGCTGCACTGGGGAAGGACACCAGGAGGGGCGACCTGCGGAGGGCTCTCCATGAGGGAGGGACACCACGAGGGAGCCCTCGCTGAGGCGGCACCCCTGTGGGGGGAAGGAGACCCGCCATGGGGGGTGACAGGGGGCACACGCGCCCC